GGGACTATTTTTGTCAGACGTTTGGCTCCCAGTGGAGACCATTTCTGAGGCAAACATGCCTGTTTTTTTGTTGCTCACCGGTCCACATAAATCTACCAAAATTATAGCCAGCTTCCATTTTTTCTCATGTAGCTTAAAATAAAGCTGAAAATCAATCTTCCAAATGAAGACTGAATATGTCTCTGCGCCATCAGTCAGTCCAGAGCCTTGGGTCTCTCACAGATAAGATTTTTAATGATTTTTTAATTGATTAACTGCTGCTAATCATGTGTTGGATTTTAAAATCTATAAACCGATACAGAAGAAGAAGAAGAGAAATGCATGACATTGACTGCAGTACCTGGTTGTTCCACCAGGTGGAACCTCTGACTGTTTAAAGAGATGGAGTTACAGGTGTGTTTGCTGACCGCCCATGAAATGAATGCACCTATGCCAAGAGCATGCTATTCATGAACACGAACTGAAACCCCACAAACTAATGCAATTAGTTAATGATGTGGTCATTGGCTTAGAAAGAATTAGTTTTACGATTTAAAAAAGTGTACATAGTACCTAGGGATTTTAATGTTAATTACATTACCTTGTGTTTACTTTATCTGTTCTTCAAATTCCTAATGTGACTGAGCTGTTTTTCTGGCAAACAATAACTGTTAGTGGTTAAAAATGGTTTCATCAGCATATGGGAAACTGTCCATTTCAACGAGTATCGGCATCCCGAGTAGGGTTGAGCAATTAATCAAAATATTAATTAATTTACAATATGGCAAAGTGCATCATCCAAATCACAGCAGCTGCAGTTTCTTGATGAAGGTAACATGTGTCAGAAAATACCATTAGAAATGAAGCATTATGGTGCGACAGAGATGCTGCAAATAATATTCTCCAGATGTAAGAGCGCATACTTGGTCATTTTTTTAATTCATTTTATTTTTTTTTGTGGAAAAGAAATGCAACAATGATTGTGACTGATGTCACAATTGAAATATTGTTGGAATTTTTTTGTGAATTCATTTATTCATTCATTTATTTATTTATAGAGCACATTTAAAAACCATCAGAGTTGACCAAAGTGCAAAAGCAAAAGATAAAAATATACAAGAGAATATTAGAGTATCATGTAAAAACAATGCGGTTAAAGGAAGTTATAAGATTAACGTTTAAGGAGAAATAAATGTGAAATACTAAATAATAGCACCATTAGGAAATACCAAAAGCCACCAACAACATGTTCATTTTGGGACTTTTCTTATAAATGTCAATGGAGGAAGAAGTTTTTATTGTGAGAAGGCTCTACTCACAGACAATAGGTCTTGGATGGATTTTTTTTTCCTTCAGTTAAAAAAATTGGTTTCTCCAGTGACTGATTGAGTAGTTTCAGGCCATTTGGAGGAAGTGAACATTGGTAGTGGTCTATAAAGAGAGCAATGAGCTTAAAATAGACTCTCCTTGACGGAAAGAAAAAGGTTGATGTCTTCAGATAAGGAATCGGAGCTTTGCTGTTGTCTCAACCTAAATTCCTGGACTGAGATAAACATGGCTGGTGCTGGGACTCTGGTGTGCTTGAGCTGTGATGTGACCCTGCCCTGCTAATCCTGTCCTGATGAGGAGATGACTCACGTCCAGTCAGGTCCAGTCACAGCTCAGATGCTGGACGACCAGACTGCCTACAGCCAAGGTGGGATTCAATCAAGACGGGGACAACTGTCACATCACACTCCTAATAGTCATTGGCTTATACGCTGATGTAACCACAGTGCAACCCGACCTGCAGCCACAGGCTACGTCCAAAATGCTCACCAGGCCGTGACATTTCACCGAAATGGGCCTGAAGAATGGCGGAAGTAAGGAGTTTATCACACTCTTAAAGAGCAAGTCACCTGTCAGCGGCTGCCCTGTAGCCACAACATCCCTTTGCGTTTTATTACTGTCCATTTACCAGCTAATCGCCACAGAAAGTGAAAGTGTTTGTACAAGTTGTCAGAAAGCTGCTTTTGTGGCTGTATGTCATCCCAGTGTTTCAGCTTCTTTCGCTCAATACATCTTCTGACTTTTTCCTTGCCTCTCCTCTCACCCCACCCTTGTCCCTCTCCGCATATGGGATTCACATTTGGCTTGGGCGAACGCTTTCTTAATGTGATATTATGATACATTATCTGAAGCCATTTACTCCCTGTCACCACCTCTCATGCGGACACAAGCTGAGCACGCCAAGGAGCGGCGGTCAGACTCTGTCCAGGTGAGTTATGACCATTTAATTTGACACTGTTCGCAGCGGTGATCATTTACAAGGCCTGAAAGTGTAATCAAAATACAAACTGTGCTTACGTGGGTCTCTCGCTCTCCCTTTCTCTCTAGGAGCCTGTTGGTGGTGGATAAGTTTTCACCCTCTCCTGCTGCTGGCTGTAAATCGCCTCTGTCGAAGGTGTGTGTGTGCATGTGTGAGGGAACAGAAGGTGAGAAATTTGGGGGTCAGCCGAGGTCTTTCAGGTAATTGCGCTTCTTAAACTTTTGACCCACTAAGCCCTACTTAGTGTGGTGCAGCTCACTCCCCTTATTTCCCCCGAGAGTTTCGACTTCTGCATACCAGGACATGTGTACGTGTGTGTTTGTGTGCGATGCAATGAGTGTCTGAACATGTGCGGTCGGCCTCACACAGCTCATGTTATTCTTTTTCACCTTTTTTTTTTTCTCTCATTGTTATTCCTACACTGTTTCCTTATTTAATCAGCCTATGAAAAATACATGAGTTTGTCTTGTTGTCTGGTCCCAAACCTCCCCTCCCACTCAGTGTCTGTGAGAAACATATAGAAGAAAAAGTGTCCTCAGTACTCAGGCAGTAAAAGATGTGACTTATTTGTCTGGCTTCTATTTTTCTTATACCTTTGTTGTCAGTGTCAGTTTTTCCAGTTGCGCCGCTCCCTTTGGTAACTTTTTGATAAATCACCCCAACTGCAAACAGTCCAGAAATGCAGAGAGGGAAGCAGAGCGACTGATGTAATATATCGCAATAAATTGGCTGCAGTTTTGCGCATAGCTTCGGAGAAAGCATGACTCTTAAGGATAACCCTCGTCTTTAGCTTTCCGTTCATCGTAGTTTGTCCCCTTTTTATATTCTCGGTCTGTCTGTCGTCATATTGAGCCATTTGAGAATGATGGATGAGGCTGTTACAGTTTGGATCTGGGCTATATTGCTGTTGTTTTCATTATTTCCAAACATACAGGCATGACACAGCCATGTAATTATTTACAGATGAAGACAAATATTCATAAATGAAATATCCTCCAAGTAACCCACTGGGTCCTGTGTATTTTTAAAAACATAAGTGATGAAATCATTGTGTGTGTGTTTTTTTAAAACTTAAATTCATTCTAACTGTCTAAACCCCAAAAACTGTCTGGTGGATTTAAAGAGCGCATTTTCTTTGTAAAAAGGGACCAAAATTATACAGTTTATGTAAGCAAGAAAGTGTGAAAAGAGAAAGTCTCATAAGATTTTCACCTGTCCACCAGTTCATGATCATGTGCTGTTCTGTCAGGAAAAATAACCAAATCTTTGCTGAAACTGTAATATTTCATCAACTCACTTTATTCTACAAGTCTCTTTTTTTTAAATCCTAAAAACAAACCAATTTGTGCCAGATTTTGTATAAAAAAATCTCAGCTGTCACGTGACGAAAATGTAGAGATTTTAGGACTGAATTGCAGGCAGTGTTTCCACAGGGCAGAGAGGAGACAACAAGAGAAGTTAAGAGGAAAATAAAACATACTTGAGCACTAAAACAAATGCAGCATGGCTCAGAAACACTGAGCAGAGGAGACAGTTGTTGGAGATACATTCAGCACGGGGAAACATCTTTCTACAGTTGATGTGCGAAACAACTGTGAGTTGTGGGAAAATTTGTGGAGGTTGTAAAAAGGAAATAGGCGTAGTTAAATAAGCTGTCTACAGCATGTGGTACCCCCATTGTTTCCAGTATTGGTAACAAATGTGAAACATTGGGAAAATGTTTTACATGTTTATTCCAGTTTTTTTGTGAAACGAATAATCGAAGAAATTCAGTTTTTGTCTTTTTTAATCTGATTTATGGCATTTTAACTGTGTCATCCTGCACAGGAGACGTTTCTGAGTTCTGTCTCCTTCTTTTCATGGTTGTACTGTTTCCACAGAGGTGCAGGACTTTTATATTGCAGTGAAAAATGAACCCACTGTGCAGAAAAATGTGACAGGAGCAAAAACCTGCCCGAAAGCTGCCTGGGGTTCAGAGAGTTAACTCTTCATTTGGTTATGATTTTGAACATATGAAAAACGTTCCCGATGAGTGAAGCTGAACATGCTTTGTGCTTTGTTTTTTCTTCTCATGCTGACATGTTCAAGATACCTCTAACTTGAATAATTTCGCCTGCAGGTAAAAGAATATTTCAGCATCCCAGATGCATTACGGCACAGAGGCTCCCATCAGGAGAAGATTTCTGAGGCGATTTGTTGAACCTCACATTTAACTCTTCTTGCCTTCCTCCCCCTCACCCACCCCACCTGAAAGCCCCCACCCCCTGGGCAGGAGAAAGCGCGTGAAGAGGAAGGGCCACGAGGGCCAGTTGTTTTTAAATAAACTAAATCTGCTAACAGTTTTATAACCCTGACCTCGTAAAACTGGCTGCAGCTTTTGGTCAGCGCTCTCTTGATGGGGCCAGCAGAGCCGTCCAGGCCTGGAATTCCCATTTGCCGCTGTGGAGCGTGTCGGTGCGTCAGCTGGTGTGTTTGCGAGAGAGAGAGGGAGAGAGAAAGGGCGTATGATATACGATTGCTGTGTCACGATCCACATGTGACGAGCGTCCTCGCAGGCAGAGCATCCAGGCTGCTGCTGCTGCTGCTGCTGCTGCTGCTCCCTCTTTCTGGAGATTTCCCTGTTTGAGGAAAGTGAGGGAGTGGGACAGAGGAGAGAGGGAGGTGAGAGAGACACTGAGGGAGGAGAGAGTAGCTCAGACAATCAGAGTGTGTGTGAGAGAGAGAGAGAGAGAGGTAGAAACAAGAGGAGAGAGGAGCTGGCTGGGAAACAATAGTTGAACAACAAATCCAGTGTTGCATGCAGCCTCTGTGGATACCTCTGCTGTCTTTCTGCTGCCGGGCGCTCAAGGTAGGAACCCCTGGATCCACTCACCTACTGCTTCTTACCCTTCAATTAGCTGCAAATGTATTCTATCAAAAGACTGGGCGTAAAAGATATACTAATTCACCCTTTGAGTGTGGATGTAAGATAATGTGATGCATGTTTGTCAGTGCATCTCAGAGAGTTTTGAGTGACACTTGGGCTCACTTTTCCTCCTCTCCTGCACATCCCTCCGCTCAGGTGCACATTCCTCTTTTATTGCAGGTCCTTTCTGCCCCGCATGAGTCCAGAAACTGCAAGTGGTTGTGATTAGGAAGCAGCATGTGACATGATATGTAATAGGAGGAAACATGTTTGTGTTGGCGCTGGTGGATTCGCTAATCAGGCACTGACAGAGATGCTGGAAGGATAGCGGAGCTCGCAGGGCTTGTTGGGAGAGCGCAAGGTTAATGGCGGCGTGAATAACTTCGGATATGTATGAATATGTGTTTTACAGGTGTGTGCGTTTATGTCCATGAGTGTGTGATAGACTTGGCCTGTTCTGCTGGACCCCGAGGCTGCTGGCTTAGGCTGGAAGGAGATGATGACAGATATAATAGACTCTGTGGTAGGTAGGAGGAGGAGGAGACGAGCTACCACTTCCATTTGACGGCGAAGGAGAGGCGTGTGTGTGAGAACGAGGGAGCGAGAAGGTGTTTAAATGAAAAATGAAGTGACTACAAAAAGGCTGGGGGATAATGAGAAGGGGGAAGAGAAACAGCCCAAGTAGGAGGAAAAACATCTGAGAAAGAGACTCCAAGAAGGACACAATAAATAGGAGAAACAGAATGAAACTGAGATGTGTGAGAGAGGTGGAGAGAAACAGGGCTGGAGGAGGTGAGACTGAGAGAGTCTAAACCCAAGAGGGGAAAAAGAAAGAGATCGAGACGGGGTGATGCAAACATCCCCGCAGACGTCCTTCTCCACTTCCGGTGACACCAGACGAGAAACAGTTTGTACAGTCGGTAAGAAAGCATTTTTTTTTTCCTCGTCTGCATCTTCACCTCAAACTAAAAATCACCTTCGAACTGTTTGGAGAAGAGGAAGGCGAAGAAGAGGAGTAGGAGGTGTGTTTGAAATGTTGCACATTCAGCCAGGTGCAGATGGACAGCAATGCTCTGGCAGAGCAGCGCACGGTTTTGTGTCTGAGCTCTCGTGTTTCATATTCTCACACATGCATGCAAACACACACACACACACACGCAGACGCAGACCGACACACACACGCACAGGGGGGCCCATTGTGAGTGTATTTATTTGGACAGTGTTGAAGCTCCGATAGGCAGTTCACAATGTCTCACCGCCGCAGGAATGTGCTTCTGACAAATGGATGCTCTGCACGAAGCTCTGGCCATTGAGAGGTTCCTTAACGCCACCCCGCCAGACGAGCATGTGACAGAGCCGCACTGCCCGAAGAAACCTGGCCCAACGTGATAACACAAACACGCCCACGACTCCTTCGCTCGCTCTTTTTCGAGAGCGCCTTCGGGCCTGGAGCTGAATGGAGGATTGATCTAGTTTCATGCACGGCTTCTCGCCCACAGCTCGGTGTCTTTTCTCCAGAACAGAGGACTTAGGATGTGAGGTGACCCTGGAGATCTGTTTTTTTTTTTTTTACTACTGAAAAAAAACCAGCCAGGAAGATACAGAAATCAGAGAATATTCACACAGATACGTCCTCCTCTGTCTGTCTCCACTGTTTCTGAGAAGCCTCAATTGTAAAGCTAACACAAGCTTAGCCGCGGCTCACATGGCTGCCTGTCATTGGCTGCACGCTGCTCTCAAATCCACACTGTTTGTCTTATCTTTACTGGGGGGGATATATTTAGTGAGGAGCTTAGCTTTTAGGAGGTTGGCGCGTGGGGAGGGTATGAGCGGGTGAGTGTGCGAGAGAGAGGAAGTTGGTGTGTGCGCTCGGGGGAGCTGGCGTCAGTAGACGGTGGAGGAGCTTGGCACTCTGCATGCCAAACTGTGTGTGTGCGAATACTGTATATGTGTGTGGAGGACAGGTCTGTGCAACCCCTCCACCCTCCTCGCTGCAGTCAGGAATCTGCCCTTTAGTTTATTAAAAGCTGGTGAAACAATGGAGGGGGGCGAGGGCGGGGATGGAGGTGAACAGAAAATCATGACGTAAACTCTGGGCACTGTGCTGCGCCAGAGCCAATCATAGAGGAGTGCGGTGATGTAGTCGGAAAGAAGAAGAAGAAAGGCAGAGATGGAGGTTTTCGTGACGGCTCCAAAAATGAGACCTCCCCCTGCTCTACCTGTCACTTCACCCCGACTCCCTCCCTCCTCCTCCTCCGGCGGCCTTTGATGCACCTGTTTTCTCAGCTATGAGCGAGCTGCACATTATTACCACTGCAGAGCAACAACTGTGTACTCAGCTGCCGGCCAGCCAGCGATAAAGCAGGGGACCCCTCAGAAGATCTCAACCATCACACAACACAACCGGGTCTCCTGAAAATTACATTCCTGCACAGCTACACGCTAGAAAGTCATTCAGGGGACAGAGTCTAGTTAAATGCAGGATTGCGAGATCAACAAAAAAATCCAATTGTTGTTAATAATGTTGCATCAACTTGATATTGAGTCTAATTTAAACTCAAGTTTCTACACTGAGGTAGACTTAATTAAATTTGCATTATAACTTAATTTTTCTTGACCTGAAGTTCAGCATTTCAAGACTCCGTCTCTATCTGGACATGGCCAGATTGGTCATTAATATTATTTACTAAAGCTCTGAGCAATGGTAATTAAAATACCTTTAATTTAGGAGGAAAAGCTGATTCTTCTAAACCACTGTAGTTTGTTGGTTGAGCATAATTTCATGAGAAGTTGTTTTAACTTAAAAAGACGCAAACTGTTAATTGTTTTTGTGGAGCCCAAATATTGTTTTTCAGAGGATAGATAGATAGATAGATAGATAGATAGATAGATAGATAGATAGATAGATAGATAGATAGATAGACAGATAGACAGATAGATAGATAGATAGATAGATAGACAGATAGACAGATAGACAGATAGAACATACGCTTACTTGTCACAAGGTTTGGGGGTTTAGAGTGTTAGTTACAAAATCTTTAAAAAAAGAAATAAATTTAAAAAAAAGAAAAAAATTGAGCACAGCCAATTTTTACTGCAAATCTATATGAGCCCAAAATATCTGAATCTGTCTTTTTGATGACTATATCTTTAAGAAACTATATCAGTCAGCCCTACAACATATCTTTGTCATATCTTCTATGATGTCTTCCTAAAACTGACCAAATGGAGAGTGAAAGCAATTTTGAAAGAATAGGATTGCGAAAAGAAACAGCAAATATCTGTATAGGTATATATACATATAATATGTATATAGGTATTATCCATAACTTCACTAAACACTTTTAAACTGGAACTGACTTTTTTCCCCCCTACATCTACAGCTGCAACTCACAATTGTTTTCACTGCCGAGTACTTGTTTAGTCTATAAAATGTCAGAAAACTGTGAAAAATCCGTTTCCCAAACCTCAAGATAACAAATGTCTTCTTTTTTTTGTCTACATCCCAAAGATATTCAGTTTACTGTCACATGGGAGGAAAGAAACGAGAAAGTATTTACATTTATGAAGCTGGAATCGAGAGAATTTAGACGTTTGTCTTGAAAAAATGAGTCAAACCAATGAATCAATTAGAAAGCCATCACCACCATGAACTCTCACGTGTAGAATATCCACTCTACCTCAGTAAGAGTCCTCCACTGTGTGCAACACAATCTGTCTGTGACTTTATGTAAATATCCATTATCTCGTGCAATACTTTATAAATCTTTTATTTCTTTTTATATATTTGTCCTTATATATCGTTTATATTTTACTGAGCAATTTTGCACTTTATTTTTTCTTTTTTTAACTTGCACTGAAAATAGGAGAAGCTCTCCAATCTGGTTGTACACTGTATAATGACTATAATCATTCATTCATTCATTCATTCATTCATTCATTCAGAATAGCTGCCGATTTAATAGATGACAACTAATTGATTAATCAACTCTAATTATATTATAGTCCTACCTTTTGGGAAAATAATGATTCTTTTTTTGAAGACATAAGTGAGAAGGCAGTTTCAATACACAGGACTATCATTTATTGTTAAACCGGGTTACACGCCAGCAATGTGTAGAAACGTCCTTGAGAAATACCAAACCACACAGCTCTTATATGAACACGCTGCATGAGTGCGGGTTTGTGTGAAAGAGAACAAAAACCCATAAGTGAGGTGGGCAGAGATATTTATACTTGCACCCCGCTGGTAAGAACAAAACACGGTGGCAGCGACCGAGCAGTTCTCTTCTACACAACATATGGCTCGCCAGGCTTTGTGGTGTCACTTCTCAGAACAGATTTTGAGATCGTTTTTTCACTTGTGTCTCTTGAACAAAAGTCTGCATGTCGTCTTTTTTTTTTCACACCTCAGATGTTTTTATTGCAAAGAAGAGAAACTGTCAGAGCGGTTATTGATCAATGTGTTATTTTTAAATGAACCACTTGGTTTATAAAATGTTCAACACTTTGTTTGTCAATTAACCAGTGATGGAAAGTAACTAAGTACATTTACTCAGGTGCTGTACTTCAGTATGACTTTGAGGTAGTTTATTCTTCCCCTGCTCGACATTTCAGAGGCACATATTGTACTTTCTGCTCCACTGTTCACAGAATGGATAATATAACAATCTTTTAAAACACAACACCTTGTTAAAGATTAAACCAGCACTTTTCTACCCTTTTGGCTTCTTCCAAACGTCGGTGTGTAATCGAACTCACATTTCACATGTTGGACTTGTTAACAGCTCTGACAAATACTGATTTTTCCTCGAAACTTCTCACATTTCAATAAATGTTCCAATGATTCAATATCTCAGCAGAAAGATTAGAGAGAAACTGGAAACAGATTTGTGTATCAGAAAATTGTTCCCCCCTTCTTTCCTCTCCAATAAATCATGTTT